GCCATTCACGGCTCAGCGTGGATCCTTAAAGGAAAAGATCATTGGTCGGCAGATCCCAAGGCAGAGAAAAGTCAGGAGGCGATAAAGAAGTCGCCTTTCGTCGAAACCAAAGTTGCTGGAGATCCAGCACCAGGCGCCGCTCTAAAGAAAAGCGGCTGGGAAGCGCAGAAAAGTCCGTAGTGCGCGAAAGCATGTCTGCATCATCGTTGTATTCACCAGGAATATGCGACACATCCAAAGTCATAGACGAGTATGCGCTGAAAAGTGCTAAGCGCTGAGCGAAGATACATAAAGGAAATTTCCTAGTGTAGAGTTTGTTCGAGATGCTCTCAGCTCCAGCATTGTCACTCCAAGATTTGATGCGGACTCGAAGACGTCCGAAAGGAACTGCGGCCGAGACACAGTGTAACAAGGCAATTTGGGCAAGCGTCTCCCAAGAAGCAATGTACGACTGAGCATCGTTACTCAAGTCCAATCCTGCGAAAGAGAAATCTGCCATGACCCAATGCTGAGAAAACCAAAGGTTGTGACCACTTGGAAGGTTAACGTATCCTCCAATTGCAAAGCAATCGCCAGAAGCCATGGCATCTGCTGCAGCCTCAACAGGAGAGGCCAAAGGCACCTGCAAAGGTCGGAAGATGGGAGGCTGCAAAGCCCAATTCTTCCAGAAGCAAAGGAGCTGCTTGGACGCCGAGCAATAACCGACGAGAGCTTGTCCAACTTTTCCTGCGGGACCTGAACACCCCCCATGCTGAAAGAAAGATTCCAACCAATCCACAGGACCTGCGGTCCAAGCTGAAGCTTCTTCCACGACATGGGGTATCCAAAGCAGACACAAAAGCTAAGAACCAAAGTGAAGGTGATGTCCACAACTGACTTCTCGGTGACTCCCAAAAGATCGTCACTGTACATAAGCAAAGCATGGCGAACGTAGAGGAACATGTGCATCATGCGGATCAGAAAGGAGGAAACTCTCTGAAACCAATGGGCACTAAAGACTGCGCCAAAAGGACAGACTTTATAAAAGAGATAGCGAAGCTCTCCTCCGGGAAGCTCATGTTGTACGCCAACGAGCCCTCTGTCGCGTTCGCGAATCCTGACAGTTTTGTGAGCAGACTCTATATCTAAAGAAAAGCAAGCCAGCTCTCCATTGTGCTGCCGAAAAGGAAAGCAATGCCGAACACTCTCCAGGCCCGGCAAAGCGTAGGTCTCAAAGGAACGGTCTCCAACCATCCCGCATCGACCTCCTTCTGAAGCAAGTCGCACAGGAGCTCCGGGTCGCTCTCTGCACCTGTCCAATTGCCAAAGCAAAGCAAGAGCTCGCCATCGGATGAAGGTGAATGATGCTGAGTGAAAACAAAGCAAGGAGGGATGTCTCCATCATATCCTGTGGCAACGCCTTCTAAGAGCGATCGGAACAGATGACAATCGGCGTCCTTGACCAGTTTGCTCAGAGAGCTCAAAGCATGCAGGCAGTACGGCTGCCCCTCCGGGACCGCCCAATTGATCGCCTCGGAGCAACCCCGCGAAGTAAACCACTTGTCGGCCATGGAGCGCAAAGAAAGAATCTCGTGCTCGGCAAAGAGACTAACCTCCAAGCCCTCTGAAACATGCTTTCGCAGACGCTTGTGCAGACCATGTTTGAGAATGAAATGAAAGTAAGAAAGTCCTTGCGAAGCTGACCAAAGCAAGCCGAAGCTTGCTTAGGAGGCACAGACCAATCAGGTCTGGAGGCAGTTCCTCCACCGTCTTGCGAAGCAATAGGAAGGTCGTTTGCCTGCTTCAGAGGTCGCAAAGCAATCAGCTCCTCCATGGAAAGCGAACGCGCCGAAGAAGATGCCTGAGACCTGCGAGCCAACTGAAGGCAGATGTCCTGACCCAGCAGATCTGGAACAAAAGCCAGAGAAACGTGCTCCGACATAGCAGCCATAGCATGTTGGCATGTGCCAGCAAGAGAGTGAAAGCATTCCAAGGAGGAGCCAAGTAGAAGCTCCTCATGAGACGATGAGACATATTTGCATAAAGGAAGAACCGTAAGTGACGCATGGATCTCGAGCAAAAGAGATCGAACTGATGGCTGGGTCCAAAGGTGGGACTTGGCATGCATCAGAAGCACAACATGGCCACCACCTAGGAAGACGGCCGTGAGCAGTTGAACAATGCGATGAAAGATGCGATCTCCCTGAAGGCCAGCCTCAAGATCCAAAACCTGGGCCACGACGATGGACACCACACCTGCAAAGGCACAACGCATCAGAGCGTGGTACGTGTCGTCCTGACAAAGCGAAGCACTGGAATTGATGCCGAAAGAAAAGAAAGAATAACTGAGGCCCGAAGAGAGGCAGGACGCCCCAAAGGACCCCACAGTGTCCGGGCCAAGCTCGAGCACCACGGAAGCCGAAGAAGCCGGATTAAAAGAAGAAATCGATGGAGAAATGGCTGAAGCCTCGGCGTCAGCCGCAGGCAAAGCTGGAGAAAACGACTCCTGGACGCATGGCGGGGGCTCCGATCGCGGTGTCAAAGCAGCTTCTGGAACAGCAGCTCCCGATACCAAAGTAGGTGAAGAAGAAGCTTGCACCCCGACCAGACTCTCACCCAAACCCTGAACGGGGGTGTTTCAAGAACCACCCGACTTGTGCTCGAAAGCAGGGTGCTTGCCGCCACAGACCTTGTTGTTGTTCTCATCAACAACGCAGCACTGGTGCAGGTACTTGCAATTCTTGTCGACGCAACCTGCCCGAGAATTAAAACGCAAGCAAAGCGTTTTGTTGTTAAAGGTCGTGGCCCACTTCTGACGCTTCTGCAAAGGATCTGGGTTCCTCGCACCCTTGTCGCCGCGACCTTTGCCACCATTACCTTTCCAGCCACGACCTTTGCCGGGTCCCTTGGGGATATCCTGTCCCTTGTTTCCTGGAAAGGAAAGCTTGGGAGGGCAGGGACGCGGAGCCAGAAGCACTTGCAAAGAAGAACGCACTGCCGACACTTGGTGCAAAGCGTCGTCAAGCTTCCAGCCGTCGACTAGAAGAGCCGAAACCTGCTCCCAAAGCATGCGGTCGCCGTGCTCCAACTCCTGCGCAAAAGGAGTGCGAAGGCTCAAATCAGCAGAGTACCTCTTAGTGGCCAGCTCCAGGAAAGCGCGATCGTAGGCCTTGAGGGTGCTGAGATGGCAACCTTTGCAAAGTGAAACAGCGACGCTACGCAAAGAAAGTATCTGCGAAAGCTGGTAGTTACCTGGTAGTTGCCGAGCTGACCCCCCGAAGGGATCTCCCGCAAAGGAATATCATCCAAAAGCAAATCGGACAAGTCCAACTTGGCAATCTTGCGGGGCCGGTTCCCTAAAGCAATGCTGTCCTTGTCATCGTGAGCTTTCTGGGAAAGTCGAAACTTCCACGGGATCCAGCGCCAGCCCACCTTAGCCTCCAAGTTGTCGACGTTCTGCTTGACTAAAGCAAGAAGGCGGGGAGAAGGCAATGTGTCAGCATCAAGGATCTCGCTGGTGTATGCCTTCAAGAAGTCTTTCTGCAAAGAAACAAAAGTCGCCGAAGCCACCTTGGGCGGAAAAGGATTGGACCACGACGAAGAGTCCTGAGCCCCAGTTTCCTGAGCAGCTTGAGGTGCCACTGTCAAGGCCGTACCCGAGCCCGAGGAGGAGCCCGAAGCGAAAGAAAAACAATGCTGCCAAAGGAGGCGAATGCAAGAACGTTCCTGAAGAGACAGCACCTTCAAAGGAATAAGCTCCTGCAAGGCGTCGTCCAGCTCGGCAAAGGAAGTCGCGCACATACCGAAAGTAGCAGCATCCCAGGAGTCATTCTGAAACTTGTCCTGAAGCTCAGAGGGAACCTTGTAGTGCACGGCCAGGGCGACCAAGTCGCGGTCCTGAAGCGAGTCAAAACAAAAGCAAAAGAGCGAGAGACACAGACGACCAAGCGAAAGAACGACCCGTGCCTCCGAAGAAGATGTCATAGACCTGCAAGACAGGTGGTGCAAGGCGCAAGAAGGGAAGCGGGTGAACGGGGATAGGAAGCGAGGTCGCGCCTCAAAGCAAGCGTGAAAGGAAGTAGCAAGTCCCCTTTCTTGGCAAAGAACCAAGCTAAGCGCTCCGAGCCACGCGGGCCGGATGAAAGCGAGCTGCGCACAGCAATGCTCAATCCAGCGTGCGGCCGGGTCCAAATTGCATGGACAATAAAGAAAGGAATCACACGCGGGACCCTTCTTTTGCGAGCATCAAACAAAGGATGCTTGTCGGGCGTGCGGCCGAAGCAGAAAGCGCCGAGCCCAAAGGCAAAATGTACAGAGGCGCCAGCTTTGAAAGTAAAGCAAATGACGCCGATTCCTGCTGAAGCAAAGCAAAGCCATCAAGCTTACTGGGTGGCATCCTTAAATTGCTTCAAGCGAAAAGCACGGTAACAAAAGCGGCACCTATGACGATGCGAAAGAGTTTCCGGCTTAGTCGGATCTAAAGTAGCGCCGCAGTGGCCACTGGCGCAGTCGATGCAAAACTCCCTGCACTCAAGCCTATGGCAAAGGGCCACCTGGAAAGGACCGTATTGGTACATCACCTCGGGCGCCAGCCGAAACTTCGCAGGATCCAAGGCCGGTAAAGGAGGAGCTGAAGCGGCTTGAGCATCTTGTCCTCCATCCCCAGCAAAGGAAGCACGGGCTGCAGGAGGAGGGTCCTCCGTGACACCTTTCTTGAAAGGAATGTCTTTCTTGAAAGGAATGTCTTTGGCTGGAGCCGAACTGGGCGCATCCTGCGGGATTCCCGCCGAAAAGGAAGGGTCCGGAGCCGAAGAAGCCGGAGCCTCCGCAGGCTTCAATAAAGGAGAAGCCCCATCCACCATCGTTTCCAACCAATTTCGGCTTTCCCAGTGGACGTACCAATCATCATAGGAGTAGTCCATGTAACCGTCGTAGGAAAGGAGGTGGCTGTACTTGGGGTGGCCTCCCTCGCTGAGATCAGGGACCTCAGGCAAAGTAGCGGCAGGGGTTTCCTTGGAACTGTCAGCTGCGTCAGCTGCTGCAAAGGAAGCCGGCTCAACCGGAGGATCAGCAGCACTAGCCGTAGCCGAAGCAAAGGAGGGGTCAGCGGCAGCAGGATCAGCAGAAGGCGCCGCCGAAGTAAAGGAAGCCGTGCCGCCTTCCAAAGAAGCGGTCAAAGCCTCCAAAAGCGCGACCCGCTGCCCTGTGGGAAGCCAACATAAAGTACTCTCGACCTCCTCCTGGTTCCCCTCAGCCTTCGCGGCAGCAAAGTTGAAAAGCACGTGAAGAGGAACTGAGTGCTCCAACCACCGCTCCATGATGAGCAGAAGAAAGTAAAGAAAGTGGCTGAGAAACTCAAAGTTCGAGGAAAGCGTGCTGCAGCAAAGAGAAATATAATGTCATGCCATGGCACCATGCTGAAAAGCGACCATGCACAAAGCTCCAAGAACCATGCAAGTGAATGCAAAGGAAATTTTTGCCAAGTGTTTTGCGAGCAAAGTCAAAAAGCGCGGCATAAAGCCAATCAAAAAGGAAGGCGTTCCTTGCTGCGCCGATCGAGCGGCCAAGCGAGCAAAAGAAGCGTGATGTAGAAGATCAAGAGCTCGAAAAAGCAAAGCGTACCAATTCTTCAAGCCCAAGAAAGGGCGATCATCCGGCCAAAGAAACCTTGATACAAGCGGGATGCCGGCAAAACACGCAGGCTAGGCCCGGCGACTCGATGATCTTCCAAGTCTTGGCAAGACAACCACATGCCG